GGGGGGTGTGTGGGGGTGTGTGTGTGTGTTTGTTTTCTTAGTTTCAATAAAGCTTAATGTTGTTTCACTCTTAATTTGAAAAATAAGAGGTGGATCCTCCAGGTATGACTAACTTGGAATGAGACTTGAAAGTCACATTTATCAACTTAGTGACTGGCTGGAAATCTTTATACACAGCTATGGTGCTCCTGAAAGGATGATACCGCTATCTGTTGCCAGAATTGTGCATTTTGTGTTCTTCCTCATTAATGCCAGAATAAATTACTGTCTTATTTATTTCTCCTTGTTTCCTTCACTTGCAGTCTAATAATGTGTGGGCTTCAGTGGCAATGGCAGAATCTAATACAGATTAAAAAAATACTCATAGTTCCTTTTAATATATGCATTGGTTATCATACTGAGTTTACAGAGCAGACCTCAAAAAATCCTGTTTGCACAACCAGATTTGTACTTTGTCATGGCAAATGAGTAAGAAAATATGGACAAGTAAAAGCAACTTCTTGAATTTGCACTGCTGCAAAAGAAATCGAAACATGAAATAGCAGCTTTAGAATGCCTGGAACACGCTAATGCCAGAGCTATGTTTACATAATTTGTTATATCTTAATATTTCTGAAGAAGCCCTCTTGTATCTAGATTTTTTTCTTAGGGTAACCAATTACGCCAGATTCCAGCTTTTGCAAGTTTTCATGTAACATATTTCATACCACTGTAGAAGTAGCATTTGGGGGACTGGGGGAGAACCAGTTTAGACAGAAATGCATGCTATAAGAGTTTGAGATGATGAAGTTAACTTCTTGCCTGCAGATTGTACAGGATGGATGAGTAAACTCGTGATAACAAAATATTTCACTTACAGGGGACACTAGCTGGGATTCTTATTGGGCTTGCTCAGTTAAACTGCTCAGAATTAAAGCTGAAGAGACTTTGTTACAGACATGGGTAAGTTTATTGAATTATAGGTTAACATTGGTATTGCAAATTGAATAACGTAACAAGCAAAAAGCAAATTCTCTGTTAAGATGTACTTCTAAAATCCAAGACACTTTTTGACTTTACAAGTATTTCTTGATTTTAGGATTTGTCAAGCATATAGCATTCAAGAAGAACATCTGTTTTCGGGACAGTATTTAATACATGTGCAGTCTTGGTGCTAAACTCTTTTAATTTTAGTTGTATGTTTACTTCCTCTTGAACTGGATGTGATTATGCAGTCTTGAACTTCTGTTTTATGAAGCACTTACATGTGAAATGCTTGGGTTAGCCAACAGCAACAAAAGATGGCACTTGAAAACAGATTTCCTTTTTTCTTTAAATGACATCTTTGTTTACTTCAGTGAATAATGCATTTATCCTGTTAGGAATTGTATTTTTTGAAGAAAAAATGATAATTTTATTTATTTTAGTTTATTAGGTGTGGATAAATTATTCTCCTATGCCATCAGTGAATGGCTTAATGATATAAAGAAAAACCAGCTACCAGGAATTCTGGGAGGCGTAGGGCCTATGCATTCGCTAGTGCAGTTGGGTAAGTTAATTCTTATTTCTATTCAGACACATATGGCAGTTTTTTTTTTTTTAAAAAAAAAAAGAAAAAAACAAACACAAAAAACCCAAACCAAAAAAAACCCAAAAAAAAAAAAAAAAACTAAAACCCAAACAATGTTGCCACTTGTTTTCTCTTCCTCTCAAGGCATTCTGCTTATCTGAGAGAACTTTCGAACTATGATGTTCTGTCTTCATTTTCAGTCCAAGGTCTGAAAGACTTGGTGTGGTTACCAATAGAGCAGTACCGAAAGGATGGCCGTATTGTAAGAGGCTTTCAAAGAGGAGCAGCTTCTTTTGGTACTTCCACTGCAATGGCAGCACTGGAGCTAACAAACAGAATGGTTCAGACTATACAGGTATAGTGTATTACTTTTGGAGTTAGACATAAAATGAGAAGTGTTGCTAGTAAGTGCTGTATATTAAGCTAGTATGTTAATGGTATATATTTAAGGTTAGGAGCATGTCTCTAAAAAATAAAAAGCGGCTATATAAATAGGAAAGCAGAGAGCGGGCAAAGCTTGCAGCAGTCTGTCAGGTGGAATCTATGGCATCAAACGCAACAATTGAAAATTGTGTTGAAATATTGCTGAACACCCAAGCTGTTACATGTTTCTTAATGTCTTTAATGTATTACGATGTACAGTTTAATACTAAAATACTCAGCTGCACTAAAAAATCACTGATATTGAGAAAGACGAGTTCTTTGCACATGTGTATTTTTCCAGTAATTGATTCTTAACTTTTCTAAAGTGTCCACTTATCTGTGTGTATTTAAAAAACAAAACAAAAAAAAAACCAACAAAAAAAACCCACCAAAATGAACAAACAAACAAAAAAACCCCACCCAAACCAACCAACCCCCCCCCAAAAATGCCTCAAAACCAATACTGATCATTTTGATATACACGAATTCTATAAAGCTTTCTGGATTTAACCCTAAAGTGATCTTGGATTAAAACATTAATAAATTTATGTTCCTTAATGTAAAATACATAATGAAAATACAGTTTTACCACCTAATTTTGCAAAAATTGTGCATGTGCCTAGGCTTGAACATACATAGTAAAAACACAGTGGTATTATCCACATGAGTGGAATTGTGTGTATGCTTGTGTGTTTGTAAGAAAAACATACTATTGATCAAATGTTTCAGTTTCTATCTTGAGCATTTTGTACAGATTAGAGGATGCCTTTGAAGGAATGGCGATTAAGGCAGTATAAAAAAGAAAAAAACCTGCCAAAACCTACAACGTTCATTCTTTCATTATAGAACTTAATATATAATTACAGCTGCACCCATTCCAGAAGTTTTTGTACAAAACCTTAATCTGATGTAAATGAACTGAGTGGAATTAGAATTCTTTTATTTCAATTATGTCAGCCTGTTAGTAGTTTAAATTTGTGATTGGATGCTATAAGACTTCTTAAATGATTTGCATTTGCTCCTGATCTTCAGGCAGCTGCAGAAACTGCGTATGACATGGTATCACCAGGGCCTACATTTATTGAAGCAAAAAAGATCAAACGATTCCCTCGCCATCGTTTAGCTCATCAGCCAGTAGACCTACGGGAAGGTGTAGCCAAAGCATACAGTGTAGTAAAAGAGGTGAGTGAAAAAGTAATTGTCTTTAACCAAACTTAAGAATTATTTCCTAAGACAGCAAATAAAATATCAGATGTTAGTTTAAGCTGGCCAAATGAAGAAGGGGATTTAAGTTTTGAATGCGATTGTTGGTTTAAGATAATTGATGAAGACAGAAACTTTGCATGGAAAAATCAAAGAAGCAGAAATAAACTAAGATGTTATGCAGATGCATGTGAATAGGACTTCAGTGTTCTACAGTTGTGAGGGTTTACAGTTATTCTGAGACATGTAAACCTGATTTCCCGCCTCACGTTGTCCATCCTTCCCTTCCCACTCCCCCCCCGCCCCAGTTATTGTTAATTCTGAGGTTGTTAAGAGTTTAGGCATAATGCTGGATTTAAAACAAGTAAAGCTCTCTTTACCATGACAGTATATTAAAAATCGGAATGCTCTCCTGTTTTTATTGTACTTTTTGTATTGTACTTTTTGTATTGTACTTTCAGTATTGTACTTTCAGTTAGTTGTACCCGATACCGTGTCTAAGAAGTTAGGTCTCAACAGGGGAGTTTTCAGTGAATTCTGTCATTTTTTAATAGCTCACTGTACCCCACAGCTTCTTCCCTTGTGCACAAGAAGTACCACCAGAAGTTACATGAAATATTTTCATCTGTAAATTCATAGTAGTGTTATTTTAAGCCTCATTAGAAATAAATCGTATTTGTATCAGTATAGTTGTACTACAGTTAGAATACAAATCACAAAGATGACAAATAGTGAACAGTCTAAGTTTCCCTTAAAATTAAGAGAGGTTGCTTTTTCTTTTTCGGTGTAACTAATTTCTGTTTTCTTGAAGGGGATTGCGGACACAGCCCAAACAATCTATGAGACTGCTGCTCGTGAGCATGAAAACAGAGGAGTAACCGGAGCAGTAGGAGGAGTCCTCCGCCAGATTCCACCAACTGTGGTGAAGCCTTTCATTGTTGCAACAGAGGCAACCTCAAATGTTCTAGGTGGAATGAGAAACCAGATCAGGCCAGATGTGCGTCAAGAAGAGTCTCAGAAGTGGCGCCTTGGGGAGGATTAAGATTATAAATCTGGCTCAGCAGGCAGGTAGCAAGGCTGGAAATGCAGCAGATTGTCCTGTTGACAGCTTTAGGTGGAGCTCGCTTTGTTTTGTCATGCTGATCTCAGGAACAAATGAGATTTTCAACTATTATTAGCAAAACATTCAACCAAAAATATTTATGAAATGAAAAACAAATTGGTACTTGCTTATACTGTGTGTTACCAATACTTTTGGTAGATAGTGCCAAACATAGCAAAGCATGCGCTGCCATCTCAGAGGCATGCTTGCTCTATTCCGTTTACCATATTTTTCTTGGTAGATTTAACTTCTGAAGCAGTAGTCTGCATGGTGAAACTAAGCATAGTTTAAAGATGTTTTCTGAGCATAGTCAAAGAAGTGTCTTCAATAAAGGGCTTTGCAGATGCTCTTCACTGACTAAAGGATAAAAGCTTTCATTTCGGGCGTGAGACATAATGGCTGTTTAATATGGAAGCGGATAAGATAATATCGTTTAGTGGTCATAAGCGTCGCTTTTAGCGTGGCACTTACAGCAAAGGGCAAGCTTGATAACCATTCAGAATTTAGATTCAGTGTTGATACACCTATGAACAGGATTTGTTCCTAAATATTAAATACCTACTTTTGTGGGTCTTTGAAGAACCTGAATGTTGCAGAAATGTTCTGTTGTGTTGCACTTTAAACGATATGGCCTGTATATTGTGCTTTTTTTATAGTGTGAATAAAATGTAATGTGCGTTATCCTTTATGTGGTTTAGAAGCTTACACAAATTATTGAAAAGAGCATCCTTTGATGATGATCCTACAGAAAAGTGTCTTAAATTTGTTTAAACTACTCATATAATGTAAAAACACTTTTGTCTTCTGTTACACTAATTACAATGTTAAAAATATTCTTCAGGAAAACAGCAGTTATAGTATTATTATGGCCAACAGTTCTTTGTAAGAATGAGAAATCCTAAGTAAAGTAAAACCAAATTATTTCATAATTCATGGTTAAAATTCAATACAGACTTTATTTTAATAATCTGCTTTTATTTAAAGTTCATATTGTTGCAAAGTTGCTGCTCTAACAAGATATTTTTAATTTAAAGTGTGCATCATTGGTTATTTGACAATAAGTATTTGGGGTCATTTAATTTGAATTGGAGATGGGTGAGATTTAAAAAATAAAACACAGAACAAAACAAAAAAAAACAAACAAAAAAACCAACCAAACAAAAAACCAAACAAATGACAAAACTTCAAAAATCAAAGTTGATACTGACATTATTTACAGTTTAATAGGTGACCAGGATTTCTACAGAACTCTATTAAGCAACTGACATTATGCCATTTCTGGGCAGTTAAAAGGCTCAGCGCTAGCTGTGCAGGAATACACTTTTTTCCTTGTATTAGCAAAAACTGGAGGATAAAAAGTAAAGACTGTTCTGAATAGAAAAATACTCATTTTGAATTTCAACAACTTACCACTTTAGATGACTAGCCAGAATGTAAGTTTGTCATAGCCCTGTGCTTGTCGTAAGTGGAAATCCTGCAAATAAGCTATGTGGAAAATCTCCACTGAAAGATGGACATCAGGTGCTATTGATCAGGCTTCAGTCTCTAAGGGTGATGAGGAAGTAGTTTCCCTCTTTTATTTAATAGCTACCACTAGCAGAAACTTCGCTGATGGGCCTTACAGGACGAATAGGAGTGTATGAAGGAAAACAGTTACTGCTTGTTCATCCTGATACTATACTAACTATTCCTGAACACCAAAGAATCTGGCTGGAAGGTAAATGATTTGAAAATGTCCCCTCTGCTGGGAAGACTTCTGCAGTCTGCTTTATTGTTTTTCATAAAACAAAACTCCGGTTACAAACAAATTCTTACATTGGGTGACAGGTGATATTACAAAGTTTTGTTTTCATTCACTGGAGTCATCTAAGTTGTGGTGCGCTTTGAAGACCTGGTTATTTCAGTTAAATGACTTGCTGTAAGCAGAAGGAGATGCTTTTTGAGAGGACAAACACCTACAGATTTAATGACATGAAATATTTTCTGATGTAAAAATACTAGCTGCAGTTCATACTCCTGTCCAGTAATTAGAGGGCTCTGCTTTAGTGAGAGCTGAAAGCTTGAGCATTTTTGCACAGGAGTGAGTTCCAGGTTTGTAATTTGGCACCTACTGAATGCCTTCTCAAGAAGTGGCAATGAGTCAATGCAAGTAAGTAGCAATGCATCTTTTTCATTTGCAATTACCATACTATGTAATTTTGGCTGGTCCAGTTCATCCAGTTAATTGGAATATACTGTAATAGTATAAATCTACATATTTTCTTCCTTTTTGACATTGCTGAAAAGGAGCAGTGGCATTTCAGTGTTCATTTAATTTTCAGTTCTGTCATGATCTGATTGTACTGCAATGCAATTAGAATATATTTTTATATGAGAGCATACTGTCAAGGTGAAACATTTTTATAGAGTCTCTCTCTCATTGTCATCAGCAATACGGATTGTACAAACTTATTAAACTTCACTTTTCACCATGTAAGCCCTTGCATTTACTGCTTGCACTTTATTGAGCCTTTTCAGTGAAATTGATTTAATTTTTTTCCAACATTTTATTTTTACAAGCAGTTTCATAATTTTTGGATGTATATTCTGCATTGTTTTTTGGTTGTAACATGATCTTGCAGTCTTTGAAATGTTTAAAGAAAAAAAAAACAAAACTCAAAACTCACCAAATGAGTCTTTACATTAGGACCTTGTTTTCAAAATGTGTCTTGTATGGAGCGGCTTGTGGTTTAAATCAAAAAGTATGCATTATGTATGAGAAGGGATTAATCAAATGCTCTGCTCAATACTGTAAGAGTTTTCAGGCACTTAAAAAAATACATGAAGTGAGATTTGACTCTGGACGTATTTCCTGGAAATGGAAGCCTACGGATACATTACTGTATTCTCTGTTAGCACGATGAGATCTGCAAAAATATTGTTGTACTTGAATTTTCCGCTGAAATCAGTTGCTATAGATACTAGCACTTTTCATATTTGTAGTGAGTGTAAACTGGCACAGTCCATGTTTAATGTTCAAATTCTCTGATGTTGAACTGACACTACTACTGCTACTACTATTACTTAGTCTGATACTGTCCTGATAGACAGAACTGTCATCCTGGGTTTTCTTAAACATTGTGGCACTTCAAATAATAAGTTGATCAGTGCCTGGAAAGTACCTGAAAAAAGACACACTTCTTTTTTTTTTTTTTTTTTTAAAAAAAAAAAAAGAAAAAAAAGAACAACAAACCCACAACAAAAATTGTGCTTCATAAGAATTCTAGCAGTGGCTGAGAGCAACAAATCATCACATCCATGCAAAGGCAGCTTCCGTGTTCTTTCTGGTGTCGACAGTTCCTAAATACTGCAGCTTTTTAGCGATGCAGCGTACCCTGTGTGTACTTGCCTAATGATAAGCATTAGGTCAGTCACCAGCAAGGTCATATGTGTTTAAGGGATGTGTCTGTTTTTATTTTCTCATTAAGTGGTTGTGAACATCCATTGCTTGCTTTCATTTACAGTTGCTCAACTGAGTTGCCAAGAAAGGTTTCTTAATAAACCAAAAAGCTGTTAAATGGTTATGAAGAAGACACTCTTACTGAACATGATCCATATATCTGCAAATGTGATACTGATTTTACTTTAAATGTTGAAATGTGTGCATTTTGTAAAACAGTGAAATCCAGGAATTTGTTTAGAGTAGTTAAATATTTCTAAATCTCTTAAATATCCTAAATCTCACAACAATATAAGCATTGTCAGAAAAGGTGTGGGTATTTATGTCAGTTTGGATCCCTAGTGTGCATAGTTCTCTCAGTCTCCATGCCTCATGATTTAAGCTTCTGACAACTGTTTTAAGTTGCTCTACATGCTGAATCTTGTTTACAATTTAAAAATTAGATACTACAAATTAAGTACATAAATACAAATCATGCATTTGTACTGGATTTCTAACAGTAAAGTAGCTCAAACACAGCAATTTGTGTATATGTTTGTGTATATTTTTTACATTTTTGCATTTATAGTAGTTTTGTGTATTGTTTGTATATAGTTTGCTAGTGTAAAGAACACAGTCTCATGAAATAGAAACCACTGTTGAAGGGAATTGACTATTTCAACATGAGTTATTTTGCCTAAAGCTTTTGTCCCCTCAGTATGTCTTTGAGAATTATTTTTGACCATAATTTATATGGCACCAAAAGTGTATATTTTAGCTTATTAAAATGCTGAAAGGCCTGAGTGCAAATAGGTTTTCTTGTTAAATATGTTTAATGGAAAAAACCACAAATTTGTAACAATACGTAAATAAATATCTTAATTTGTTCCTTGAGTTGGTTTTCTCTACATATGAATATAACTAATACAGAAAAGTCTCTCCCACAATCACAGAGTTAACTGTTAAAGATATTTTTACCTACCTGGCTATACAGCTGTACCTCAAAAATTAAAAAAAGTTTTATACTGATAAAAAAAAAAGCTTTAAAATTGCATAGAGGTCAAAAGCTAGGAAGTAAATTAACCTGGCTGATAATAACTTTAACCCACGTCTGTTGTGCCTAAACAAAGCTCTCTGTAACTGTATGGTCACATATTATATCTCCTGTTGGCCTGTTGACACATTTAGTTACTGAGTATGTATTTCTTACCTCCATATTAAGTGGAGATTTTAAAGCCTTATTAGCTTCCAAACCCAGTGAAGAATGCAAAATAATTAATTTCTTTCAAGTTGCTTGTGTGATACCCCCTTCACAGGCATTTAGTTACAAGCATCTGAAAAGAGATCTTAGAAGGCGGAGTACTGGGTAGTATTAAATATGGTGGCAGTGCCAGGTCATTGAAAAATGAGACATATGACAGGTGTAAATAATTTTCTACTGTGTTTTGTAATGTTCTTAAAGCTTGAGGGGTGGGGGGGGGGTGGGGGGTAAGTAGTGCCTGGAAAACTATTCTGTCAAACAGTAACCCTTCATTTAAGAAGGAAGCTGACTCCCACCCTGTGAAGCTGCTCCTCCTTTTTTAAAGCAAGACCTCATGTGGATGAACTTGCAATTTCAGAATTTTTATTTAAAAGCTCTTAATTTTTTTTTCTTTATTTAAGGAAGTTCTGTATAAGCAGAATGAGAGAGAGGGTTTTTTTCTTTGCAAGCAAGGTGGACAAGTTTCTTCTCAGCTTTTCTAAACATTGCTCATAAAAGTGATCAAAGATATTTGAACAAATGCTGTGCTGAGCAGAAATGCAGACCACAGAGGATAAGTAGGGAACAGCTTGGAATTAGTCATTGATCATCCCAGGAAAGTATGAAAAATTAAAGGAATTTATTTCACTTGTTCCCAATGCCTTCTTTCATAGATCAAAAGTGATGAAGTTGCAAACTCATCTGATTTCCCTGAATTTTTGACTCATCTGTCACTTGTAAGAAAAGAATTCTATGAAAACTACTAGCAAGTGTTTGTGGTTCTTTGAATTCAAGACTGCTGTGATTCAAGCTTGTATCTGTGTGGCCAGAATACCAGGCTTCACTTTGCTCAGATGAACTCCAGGGAGATGATACAGGATGGCACAAGCTGGAATCACAACCCAAGGAAAGTGTCAAATTCTATTTCTCTTTGCGGTATTAAGGCATACCAAGGATACTCCTGATGTCTCCAGGTTAGTCCCAAGAGCAGAGGAGACTAAGACTCCACAGCCTATGACACTG